AATTCATCGCCGTCTAGACTGGTGGCGAAGACAAGACGCCATACAAGCGTCATAAACTCTACCAGCAGTTTCAATTCTAGCACAGCAGCATCGTGCTGCTGCTGCGTTACTTGTGTTGCTTCTTGTGCTGCTGCTGCTGCTGCTCCTCCTCCTAGCTTCTGCTGCAGCAGCAAAGGCAGCTGCTGCTGCAGCCTGCTGCATGCGCGACGCAGTGCTGCTATCTGGCCGCTGCCGGGGGGCCTTGTGCCTGCCTCATGCGAAGTATACACGGGGATAAGTCTTGGTGTTCCTGCTGCTGCTGCTGCTGCTGCTGCTGCTGGTGCTGCTGCTGCTGCTGGTGTTGTTTCTTCTGTTGCTGCTGAACGAGGTGCTGCTGCTGCTGCTGAGCCCTGCTGCTCACCTTCTGCTGCTCCTGGTGCTGCTGCTGCATCTGCTGCTGCTGGTGTTGTTGTTGTAGCTTCGCCGGTTCCTTGTGTTTGCTGCTGGTTCTCTGCTGCTGCTGCTGCTGCTCCTGCTGCTGCTCCTGCTGCTGCTGCTGCTGCTGCTGGTTGCTGCACCACCTCTCCTCTGTATATCTGCTGCTGCTGAGTCGATGAGGGGATGCCTAAACATACACCTGATTGGGGTGTATGGGCAGGTGTATTGTTTTCGTTATTTTCTGCCCATCTAAGTAATTCTTGCTGATGGTCTTCTATCTCTTGCTGCTGCTGCTGCCGCTGCTGCTGCTCCTGCTGCTGCTGCTGCTGCTGCTGCTGCTCCTCATCAGGCATCACCTGCATCAGCTGTATCTCTCGCAGCAGCTTCTTTGCTTTTGCGTAATATCGTTTTAGTACTTTGGCGGTTACTTCTAGCCCCTGCAGCATTCAGGTGTACATACACTCCAACATATATTTATTTTTATTTATTTTCCTTTTTTATTCTCTTTCTTAGTTTGTATTCTTTTGTTTTATCATCTATTTTATTAGATAAATATAAAGGGTTTAGGGTTTAGGGTTTAGGCTAAAAACTAGGGTTTAGGGTTTATGAGGGTTTAGGGTTTAGGGTTTATGTTTATTTACTCCTAGCTGCATAAGCCTTTCTGATGCTTCTTTGGCCATACAAAGATGAACAATAACAGCGAGGGTTTAGGGCAAACTAGTGTTTAGGGTTTAGGGTTTGTTAAGGGTTTATGAGGGTTTAGGGTTTATGAGGGTTTATGTTTGTTTACTCCTAGCTGCATAAGCCTTTCTGAAGCTTCTTTGGCCATACAAAGATGAACAATAACAGCGAGAGAAGAAACACAAAGATGCACATGTTGGGGTGTATGCATAAGAGGGTGCAGACAAATCTCAATAGCTCGCCCCTCAAGCAGAATGCTTCGTGTCTGCACAGACACAAACATAAATTATTTTTATTTTATTTTATTTTATTTTGTTTTGTTTTGTTTTGTTTTGTTTTGTTTTATTTATTTTATTTTTTTTTTTTGCTGCTGCAGCAGCAGCAGCAGCAGCAGCAGCACCATCAGCAGCAGCAGCACCATCAGCAGCAGCAGCAGCACCATCACTATCACCATCAGCACCACTACCATCAGCAGCACCACCACCATCAGCAGCACCACCACCATCAGCAGCAGCACCACCACCATCAGCAGCAGCACCACCACCATCAGCAGCAGCACCACCACCACCATCAGCAGCAGCAGCAGCAGCAGCAGCAGCAGCAGCAGCAGCAGCAGCAGCAGGATATTTCTTACGGGTTGTTGTTTTTCAGTGGGGTCAAGTGTAACGAGAAGGACCTCTAAGTCATGGAGCCACTGCATAGCAGCAGCAGGCGAAGCAGCAGAATTTATTTTAATTAATATCCATAGAGCTCGCAGCTGCTGCAGTGTTGGTGTTTCTTTGTTTATTATTTCTGTATGTCCTGCTGCTCCTGCTGCTGCTGCTGCTGCTGCTGCTGCTGCAGCACTGCTACATCTTTCTCTAGCTCCCCCATCCTCTCCCCCCCCCATACTCATATCTTCTATAAACCCTCCTCCTCCTGCTGCTGCTGCTGCTCCTTCTGCTGCTGCTGCTGCTGCTGCTGCTGCTGCTGCTGCTGCTGCTGCTGCTGGTGGTGCTGTATACATAGGTCCCAATACAGCCTGGCTCTTAGTCTCAGCAATATCTAAACAAGCGGCGTTGTCTGCTTCTTTGATTGCATCGCTGGCGATGCAGTGGGGGCCCCCAGGGGCATCGAGGGGGCCCCCTTCTTCTCTTGGGCTCCCCCCCCCACCCGGTGTAGCTGTGCGGGGGGTTAGGGCAGCGCGCAGGCTGGAGGCCCCCCTCTTTAGTTTATTGTAGCCTAGAGAGATGGTATCCCGCGGCGAAGCAAACGTCTTCATGTCTGGCTTGAGAGAAGATAGACGCAGACGTAGATTGGGACCCTTCTTGCTGCTGCTGCTGCTGCTGCTGCTGTTGTTGTTGTTTATTGTATCGACTACTGGGTCGGGGTCAGCTGCTGCTGCTGCTGCAGATGATATGGGAGCTGTAAATGAATCCTCTTCTCCATGATCTCCTGCTGCTGCTGCTGCTGATGAAGCTGCTGCTGCTGCTTCTTGCTGCTCTGCTGCTGCAGCAGCAACATGAGAGCTCTCGCGGCGGTGAGGCCCTAGGGTAGACGGTTTACACCCCATGGTAATAGAGAAGAGAAATGTTTATTTATTTATTTTTTTTTTATATAGACAAACTTGTTCTTTTCTAGCTTTCTATATCCTCTTAATTCTCTAAATAATAATATAAATACACACACAAAGCGCGACGGCGACGACGGCGGTGCTGCGGTGTATGTACAGCTGGCGCTGCAGCAGGAGGATAAAGGCAGCAAATAAAGAAGAAGAGAAGCAGTTTATATTGATATGGAGTTTAAATAGAATATATAAAGACTTATAAATTTACTTTTTTGGTTTTTTTTATTCATATATTGCACAGAAAAAGAGAGAAACTGATGCTGCTGCTGCGGTGTATCGACAGCTGACTCACCGCACGAGCCAGTGGACAGCGGTGGCTCGCGCCGGCGTCGCCGTGACCCCGCACACTACCTGCCCCCCTTTTGTTTATTTTTTGGGGTTTTTTCGCAATTTTTCGACGAAAATTAACAAAAAATCAATAAAATATCAATTATTTTGCATCATTTTGATGCCCTTTGACCCAGAAGGCCACCTACCACCGCCCCCGCCGCACCGCCGCCGACGGCAACTAGACATTCCACCAGCTGCTGCTGCTGCTGCTGCTG